CAAGACGCTCCTTTCCCACAGCCAGGCCACCTCTTTCTGGCCATGCTCGGATTGAAGGCTCAGGAAGCCCCAGGAAGCCCCGCATCCCAGAGGAAGCGGTATGAGAATCTTTTAAAAGTTACTTTGATATGTGTGTGTATCTTTCTGATTCTGAAATTTGTACTACTGATGATGGAAATTCTTAAAAATTTCTACTCAGAAAAGTATGAAAAAGAAAATAAAAACCACCCTGAATCCCCTATATTGTTAGGTTAAATTACATGAGATTGTTATTTTTGTTGGTCAGAAATAGTGGAATATCAATTTCATATGAACATTTTGCTGTTTTTCTAGTCTTTTTTTCTTTGAATAAGGACTGCTTTGTAAAATGAGGGAGTTACAGCTTTTGGAGTTCACGTTTCGTTTCTTACCCCAACCACCCCCAAAATCCAGTTATCCAGTTGAATGGATACTACTAATAAAATGAGACAATTCATTAAAATAAAAATTCTATATTAGATTTAAATTCCATTCAATGAGAATCATAAACATATAAGTCCTAAGTTGATGTTTTTATTTTATTTATTAAAAAAAAAACTTTATTGGGGAACAGTGTGTTTTTCCAGGACCCATCAGTTCCAAAAGTCATTTTTTTCAATCTAGTTGTGAAGGGTGCAGCTCACTGGCCCATGTGGGAATTGAACCGGCAACCTTGGTGTTATAAGCCTGCTGTCTAACCACCTGAGCTAACCAGCTACTCCATGTTCTTATTTTATTTTATTATTATTATTTTTTTAAGATTTTTATTGGGGAATTGGGGGATGGAAACAGTGCTGGGGAATTGGGGGAAGGAGAACAGACAAGTTGCTGCCCTTTTGTTCTTTGGTCTAGTTGTGGAGGACGTTGCTTCACTGGCCCAAGTTGGCACCATCATTGCGCTCTTCCTGGGCAAGGCAGATCAGTCGCCGGCTTCTGGACGGCCGCTCATTGCGGCTGCTGGCCACTCACGGTAGCCCATGGCAACCCAGTGCAGCAGGGGCTGCAGCCTACACCGTCATCGGCGTCTCACGGCAACCCAGCTCCAGGTTGAGCTGTTGTTCAGCATCTTAGCTGTAGAGGGCAGTGTCACTGGCCCTCATATGTGGGATCCAAACCGGGGCCCTCTGGCGTCCCAAGCCAGCTCTTAACTAAAGCGGCCGGCCCCCCCATGTTCTTATTTTAAATGGTAGATAAGTTAACAGTGTTTTCTGAATTACAGAAACTTCCCAATTACTAAGATTCAAAATAATTCCTTCTCTAGCCTGCATCCCTTCCCCTCGCTGTGTGAACTGAGTCATGTGCCCCAAAGGCATGCACTGAACTTACTTAGTGTGTGCCCACTGCTCTGGGCTCGGAAACTCCCAGAGGAAGCCCCTGCTATAATACAATAGACTGGAGGCCAGTGGAGAAGAGGCCATAAATGTAAATGTACATTACATTGTAATGATCTGGTTGGGGTTCTTGAGGAGGGGTTGTTGTCAGTGAGGCCCTGGGAGCAGGTAGGCCTCTGGAGACGGTGACATTTGAACAAAGACCTGAAGGGGAGGAGCTGTGCAGAGTTAAGGGGTGGGGGGAGCGGCCAGGTAAAGGAGGCAGCCTCAGGTGTTTGAGGGACAGCAAGGAGGGAGCTGGGAGGCTGATTGACTGACAGAGCAGGAGAGAGAGGAGGAGGAGTAGACAGGGTGAGGGGCCAGCACCAGGGGTTTGGGGATCTGACCATTGAGAAATGTGGCATAAGGCCACCTGACTTCACTGGAAGAGGGTCCTCTTGCTGCTGTGTTGAGAGTAGACGGTGTTTAGGATGAAGCAGGGAGATGGTGAAAGGCTTCCCCCACTGCTCCTACCCTGTAGTGGCCCAGAATACGACAGAAACCATGGAGGCCGCAGAAGCTGACAGAAGAGGTTGGATTCTGCGTGTCTCTGGCAGGCAGAGCTGATGGGTTGGAAGTAGAAGGGTAGATAAACAGAGGAAGCAAGATTTACTCCCCTATAGTCCATCAGCTGGAGAGAGGGAGATGGGGAAGGCTGAGGGGAAGGGCAGGACCTTGGTTTTGGAAGTTAAGTTCAAGGTGTTAAACATCCATGCAGAGCTAGCTGTTAGCCAGCGGTTGGATATATGGGTCTGGAGAGCACAGAAGAGGGCTGGGCTGCAAATAACTTATTTGAGATGTCTTGACATATAGTTTGTATTTAAAGTCACGAGGCAAGGGACCAGGTGCAAGGACTGAGCCCTGAGACCCTCCTGCATTAAGAGGACGGGGCAGCCTCTGAGATCAGAGGGACACCAGGAGAGCAGTGTCCCAGAAGGACATCCAGGAGGAGGGAGAGTTGCCCCTGGTTGGAGGCTGCAGCTTGAGCATGAGACCCCCACCAGGGAGGTCACAGGTGACTTTGGACAGGAGAACATCCTTCTAAGACAAAAAATGCCCCCTCTGGCCAGACAAATTCGTAAAGGCAGACACAGCCCAGGCTCCAATGGCTGGACCTGCCAAAGGTGACTGACAGCACCCAGCCCAGCACCTTTGTGGGTGGCCACAACTGGCTGGCCAGTCAGTGCCAGGGTGCCAGGCTCTTAGCCTGCAGAGCAGGGGTGGCCAGGCGGTGCCCTAGGTCTGCACACCCACGAGTTACCTGTCTAGAGGGTGCTGCCACAAGAGGGCACCACAGGCACCAGTGGGTGCCACAGACAAAGGAGCCTGCAGGTGGGAGGCTGAGAGTGGCCCCAGATCGAGCTCAAAGAGTCAGCTCCTTGCTCCCGCAGGAGGGACATTTCTGTCCTTTAGAGGAGCCGCCAGCCTCTCTCAGGGAGGCCCAGTGCAGCCCATGACTATGGGGAGCACATCTTCTCAGATTACTGAAGCTGAATGTGGAGGGTCTCTGACTTCTGGGGTGCGAGCATGGTGCTGCTAACTGGGCCGCATTCAGAAATGCACCCTGTTCCTGGGGCCCCGTGTGCAGAAGGCAGGACAGGCACAGAGGGTCCTTGCTCACCCTAGACTCTCACCAGTTCCCTTTGTTTGTTCCCCTTAATTTTGTTTTTCCCTTTAATGTTTTTCTCAATTAAAAAAGTATAGAAGTAAAACTTGTCCATCAAATAGAACAATATAGAAGGGTATAGAGTAAGTGATAATAGCCCCCCAACTCCACATGCCCTCAAAGGTGACTGTTTTTACCTCTTCTGGACATTTCCAGCCCCTCCCCCATCTCACCCTGTTTCTATGAGGGCGGATGGCACCATACATTCTGTCCTGTCACCTACTCTGCCACTAACTGCGCGTCTCACGTTTCACTCCACATTTCGTCCATCCAGCCCTGCCACCTTGTCCCCAGGCAGCCATGCCCCATTTAGTGCTCCTGTTGCGTTGTCTCTGCTTTGAGGTTGTGAAAAAGAATGTTCGGATGACTCCCCCTACTTTTGTGAAGAATACATCCATAGGATAAGTTCCCACAAGTGGAATTTCTGAGGGCAAGGTTAGGGACCCTTTGTTTTGAGGCACACTGCCAGATCAGCCTCCTGAAATGTGCCCGCCATCCTGCTTACCAAGCAGTGTACCTGTGAGGGCCTGTCTGTGTCCCCAGCACTGGGCATCACCTGGCTCAGAGTGTGCCAGGCTGGAAGGAGGCCAAAGCTACTGCTTATTCTGTCTGGTTCCCGTCTGATGACATGGTCTAGCTGGCCCCTCAGAGCATCCGTCTCTCTTGAGGGCTGTCTGGATGGGCAGCCTCCACCAGGCAAGGACGTGTGTTTATGGGGGAAGGGCGGGTCCTGGCTCCAGGACCTTGGTAGGTGTCTTACTCTTGTTTGCTCATCTCTAAAAGATGCTGGAAATTTTTAATCGAGTGTAGCCATGGTTTTGTCTAGCAAGGTGCTGAAAGTTTTGACTACAACTCAAAGCTGGAAATAAGCGTATCTTAGTGACTGGCACTGTGTGGGTGAAAACGTTTCACAGAACAGTATCCCCCTCACCATGGATGTTATACTCGGATATGTTTAAGTTTTGTTTTTTTCAAATGTTGACCATGAGAACCGTCATCTTTGTTCTCCCTAAGAGGCCCCCAGGAATTCCAAAGAGGGGTTGGGGGATTTCTGGTGGCTTAGAGGCCTGGAGAACGTTCAGGGACGTCCTTAGTGAGGCCCTAAGATTGGATGGTGAAGGGGAGGCTGTGAAAAGACCCTGACTTGACCTTCACAGCTCTCCTGGGGCTTTTTCCCTTAGGCTGCTCCAAACCTGTGTCCCGTGTGTGGGGCACACCATTCCTTCAACCTGGAGTGTGGGCCCAGCTCTTCTGACTGTCTCCCTGTTGTCACACGCTGGAGTCAGGGGCATGAGAGCAGGGTGGGAACCCAGGAGGACGTGGGAAACTCTGCCACCTCATAAAACTGTGGAGGGTGTCTCCTTCCCCCTCAACTTTCTCTCACTTTAGGTTGAAGGGTGGCCCCTTTCTGATTACAGTGCCTGCTGGCCTAATTATATCCTGGGCTAATTTGTTAATGACTCTGGGCAGAGGTCCTGTGCCTTGGGCCGTGTCACAGCCCCAGGGCACCTGCAGGGGAGTTTTGCTGAGGAGCTGTGTGAAGGAGTGTGAATGGCCCCTGAGGCCCCTTGGGGAGTGGGCACCCGAGCCCTCTGGGAGCCCCATGTCCTACTGGCACTCACCTATCTCTGACGGATGGCTGCTTCTCTGTCCATGGGTTGTCAGTGTGCGTCCTTGCCTCCCTAGGAGCCCCTGGTACCTGGCACTAGCAGGACCCTGCCATTTTCATTCTACTAAACAAGTGGCCCTTAGTGCCTTGACATTAAAAAACACTTCCAGTTTTCCTTTTCATAAAAGCAATAGAAACTTCAGGAAATATAAAAAAGGGGAAAACCACCTCTGACCCCACCCCAATGACTCATGACCCCAAGTGTGTTAACATTTTGGTGGAGGCATCTCATGACTGGTCCCTTTGCTCTTGTCTGACTCATTGCATTGTCCCCCAGGAAAGTCCCACCTGGCCATTGTGCAGAAGGTGAACAATGAGGGTGAAGGTGACCCCTTCTATGAGGTCCTGGGCCTGGTCACCCTGGAGGACGTCATTGAGGAGATCATCAAATCCGAAATCCTGGACGAGTCAGATATGTTCAGTGAGTTCCACCCTCCCCACAGACCTGGAGCCCAGAGCCTCTTTCCTGCTGAGGCCTGGCATCTGCTGTCCTGGGTGGGAAGGCCACAGTGCGGGGACACTGGGACCCAGCCCCTCGAGGCCCAGGCAAGCAGGGAGCATGCTGCTCAGAGTGGGGAGAAGAGGCCGCCTGTGCCTCCCAGCCTTTGCTTCAGGGTCAGCCTGGGGACCGCCCTGGGCCTGGCCCTGCTGCTTCTGTGTGGAAGGAGGGACCGGCAGGCAGGCTCACTCCAGTCTGTTTCTGAGTCCATTAAGGGGACAGCGTGCTCAGCTCCAGATTTGTTCTCTTGCAGCTGACAACCGAAGCCGGAAACGGGTATCTGAGAAGAGCAAACGGGACTTCTCGGCCTTCAAGGATGCTGACAACGAGCTCAAGGTGAAAATTTCACCTCAGCTGCTCCTAGCTGCTCACCGTTTCCTGGCGACAGGTAAGAGTGGGAGGAGGGCCTTGGGTGTTGCTGGGACATGGTCACAGAGGGAGGACTGGGCTCCCCTGCTGCTGCCCCACAGACAAGGACTGCACAGATGCCAAGTGTGGGGAGATCCGGCAGCCTTGGGGAGGGCGAGATGCCTCCTCCATCCCAGGGCACAGCCTACAGTGTGCTTTGCCTGCGGCAGACTTCCAGGACACATCCAGGTCACTTTTGATAATAAGCCCTGGGAGGACCTGTGGAGGCTTTTGGAGGAGGAGGGAGAAGGAGGCCCTTCTCCATGCCCAGGTGCAGCCCATAGCCCGTGCCCAGCTCATCCCCCGCAAGGGGCCTGCAGCCCGCTCTGTTCATGTCTCTCCCGCTTCCCCTCTGCCTGCATATGCTGGACTTGACTATAGGACCTGACCTCTAGAGCAGAGTCAGAGCTCTCTTCTCTCCTGGTTTACAGCTCCTGTGGGGACCTGGCCTGCCTACTCGCCCCCACCCCAATCTGACTTCCTTCCCAACCCTCACTTGCTAAAGGTGTGATAATTCCTTCTCTATTTCTCCTGCCAGGATATGTGTGATGTTGGCAATGATGCTAACATTTATCAGGTGTTTTATTTATACCAAGAATGTGCCTAAGTGCTTACACGTATTGTCCCATTTCCTCACGACCCTATGAAGTTTTAATCCCCATTTTACAGATGAGGAAATGGAGGTACAGGTCAAATAATTCGCCCAAGGTCATGCCTTGTTAGTGCAGGAGCCACTGTTCAAGCCCAGTGGGCACACAGACTCCAGTCCGCCCAGTCGGGAGCCCGAGCGCTCCCTTCCCGGGGGTGCAGAACCACAGGGAAGGGCCTGGCAGTGAGGGAGCCATTCTCCTCTGTTCCCCCGCAGAGGTCCCCCAGTTCAGCCCTTCTCTGATTTCGGAGAAGATCCTACTCCGGCTGCTCAAGTACCCAGATGTCATTCAGGAGGTCAAGTTTGATGAGCACAACAAATATTATGCCCGCCACTACCTTTACACGCGGAACAAGCCGGCTGACTACTTCGTCCTCATCCTGCAGGTGAGCGCCCACCCGCACCTGCCCTCTTCACTGAGACGGTGGGGACACGGGCTTCTCTGCCCCAGAGCAAGAGCGTGCGGCCTGCCCTGAGCCTCTGCTTTCCGTTGTCCATCCTCTTCCTGAGTGGCCACCCTTAAGCCCTCCGTTGCATTGCCCCTCACGTCTCCCCCTTGCCTCGTCCTTTTTACCTCTGTAACCCTGACCTGTGTTCTTTTAGGGGAAGGTGGAGGTGGAGGCCGGGAAGGAGAACATGAAGTTTGAGACGGGCGCCTTCTCCTACTATGGGACCATGGCCCTGTCCTCACCACCCCCTGGTGAGTCACTGGCCATACCTGTGCTGCCCTCCAGCAGGCCTGCAGGGGGAGAAGCAGCGAGTGGCCCCAGAACCTCAGCATCTAGATGGCTCATAACTAGTGGTGGGGGAGAGGGAGGCCTGCCAGGGCCAGAGCTGCGGGGCCTGGAGGAGGCCGCCTGGGAGAGCAGCGACGTGCTCCTTTGGGGGGACGGGAGGGGCTTCTGAGCGAGGCCTGCAGGGAGCTGAGAGTGAGTCCTGAGAGGGTGAGACCAGCCTCCAGAGGGGGGCACTGGGAGCAAGGACAAGTTGGGAGCCCCAGAAGGTTGATAGCGCTTGGTCATGATAGGAAGTAGGAAGCTGGCCTTGAGCAGGGGAAGTGTGGTAGCAGCATGGGCCAGCAGGCCCTGGTCGCCCTCACTGGCTGTCACAGCAGGAGAGCTGAGAGAGGAGATAGGTGGACGGAGGCTACAGGACCCAGGAAGACTGGGACTGGGAAGACCAGGGTGGGGCTGAAGGGTCCAAAGTGCCGTGGTTGGGAGCCAGGCTAGGACCAGTCGCAAACTTCTCAGACTTAACCGCTGCATCTTGTTCAGGGTCAGTTCTGATGGAATAAAGGGCCTTGAGGCCAAAGAGGGTACCAGATAACCTCCAAGAAAGGTTATGGCTCGTCCAGGGAAGGGGCCGTTCTGGCCACCCTGGGTCCTCTGCGTCTTCAGTCCTGGGTGGCTCAGGCACCCCCTGCCAGAGGGGCCTTGGGGCCGGAGTGGGCGCCCTGTAGGCAAGGCCCGCGTCTCACCTGGGCAGCTCCTTACTGGTTGTGGGACCCCTCCGAGCCTCGAGAGGGGCCCAGTTTGCTGCAGACTGGAGAGTGGAAGTCCGCTTTGGTTCTGGGGGACAAGCCACGTGGTGAGGTGTGTTTGCAGGTGCTGGGAGCCTCGGCTGTGCCTGCTGCTGTCCTTTGACAAAGAGGACCCTGTGTGGGGGCTGGGGCACCATGCCTATTGACACAGCTCTGCCCCTCTGCCTACCTGAGCCAGCTCCTGGAAGGAGGGAGGGAGAGACAACCTCCAGAGCGCGGTTTGGAGCAGGTGGCTGCTCCTAGGCTGACTTCTCTGCCCCTCCTGAGAGCACCTCTTGTTTTCCAGCTTGGGGAGTCTGGTTTAGAAGGGCACACAGTCATGGGACATTTCCTCCAGGCAGCGATGTGTCAGAGGCCTGGGTCACAGTCCTGGGTCACAGCCCTGGGCTCTGTCCCTTGACCTGGTGGCCCTCAGTTACCTCTTGGAGTGGCCAGAAGGAGAGGGTGATGACTTCTGAGCAGGGCTCTGGGGTCTACCTTGAGCACCCTCCCCATCATGGCCATGTCCCCTTTTCCACTGTGCCCCCTCGATGCCTGAGGGAGCCTGGACAGCAGGTCTGCTTCCTGTGGCTCCATGTCCTAGCCCCTGACTTGGACCCCACCCATCACTGACCTGTTCCTCTTTTGCCCCAGTGCTTTCAACCCAGGTCGGGTGTCCGCCTGGCAAGCGGAACTCCCTGCTCTCCTGGCTCTCAGGTAACCTGGCATGGCTGGACAAGTTTGCACTGCCACCTGTCTCCTGAGTACACACACCGCAGCTGCATTAACCTGTCCCAGCAGGCACTGAGGCTCCCTACCTGTTCACACTTGTGGGCCAGCCTGGCCTGGGGCCCATTTACTGGTAGCTTTGCTCTGGTCCTGGAAGGGCTTCCCCAAAGGTGTGTTGTGTTGTGTGTGTGTTGTATGTACTATGTTGTGTGCGCACATGCATATCCCCTTAAGGACTGAAGAACCTTCAGGGAAGCCCACACAACATACACAACACAGACACACAGCGCGCGCGCACGCGCACACACACCGCCCCCCACTCTCCCCTCCCCCCCGCACAGATGGCAGGTTGTGGTGGAGGGGTGTTCCCAGCCAGGCCAAGCTGTTCAGCCTCCTGATCAAGGCCACTCACAGGCCTCAGCAGGATGACTTCTCAGCTCAACAGCTTTCTCTCAAAAGCTTCCCACCTTTCTTCCCAGGATTTGCTTTTCATTCTGTGGCTGCTGGTATCTGCCTGCCAGGGGAGGCAGTGGCTGGGCAGTCAGACTGCCCCGTGTGAATGCCATCTCCACAGTTCTGAGCTCAATGATTCCGGGGGCTAACTTACCCTCCCTAAGTCTTGGTTTCTCATGTGACATGGGAACAATACATGTGCCCACTTAGAATTGTGGGGAACAATGAAGGAATTGATTTAAAGTGTTTAGTTGGAGCTCAATTATTACTTCTGTTTTTTCCTCTATTGCAACTAAAATGTGACATTTCAGTCAAGGTATTTAGGAAAAGGCCAAACACCATGTTCTGGTTCTGGCCTTTGGGATGTCACACTCCTGAGCCCTGTCTCAAGACTGGTGGGGACTGTGCTGGCCAGATCCATTCAGTTTGAGGGATCCCCATCCCATGTTCCAAGGCTGCAGAGGGTGGTCGGAAGTGCTGCCCTTGTCACTGGTATCCTGGCCTGGCGAGCCTGGAGGAGGTTGAGACCATGATGAGTGTCTCTGAGCTCCAGTCTCAGTGTGTGACTTAGAGAAGTGCCTGAGCCCCCACAGTCCTGAAAGCCTAACACCTCAGTCAAGTGCTTCACATTTTATATTCCTTCTTAACCACCAAAGCCCACTATGCTATTGATCCTCTTCTAAAAAAAAAAATTAAAAGGCAACTTAGAAGTCACTGGTCCCATTCAAACACAACTTTTGGCTGGCATGGAAAGCCGGTACTGGCCTTTGAGCAGGGCTGTGTGATGAACACAGATGGGCCATCTGGCCCTCACAGCCACCACCCCAGCCTCCCTCTTCCTCTCTGCACTTGCTCTGCTGTCATGTATGGCCAGGAGTTATGTGGACGAGGTCTGAATCATGGTGTTTTTACCTAGTGTGGGACCAGAGATGCTTTTCCATAAGCTGTCTAGTTAGAGTTTCACCAAGCAAACGTGCCTTCATTTGTTACTGCCCTCTTACGGATGACATAACCTCTTTATGAAAAACATTTGCTGTGTTTAAGATTATGTCCTTAGAATATTCTTTCAGAAATGGAATTACCAAGTCAAAAACCCCTATTTTTTGTTACATATATTGTTTTGTTATAATCATAAAAGTACCATAGCTTATTTAGAAAATTGGAAAAATAGAAAAAAAGTCTTAAGAAAATTAAGAAGTATAATGATATCATTATTCAGAAACAGCACTTCATATTTTGGTGTATTTCTTTTTAGGGCCTCTATTTTTAGTAGTCCATGTCACTAATTTGTGTTGGTTTTAAATTCAGTTCCTGTTTCTGGTAAGTTAATAAACATTAATTAAAAGCATTCCATTATCCAAATAATTAGTGTGAAATATTAAGTGATCACCCTAGGATTTGTTTTTTTCTAGAACTTAATCAGAGGTAGATTAAGTTCTAGAACTAGAACTTACTTAAGGTAGAATAAGTGACATGTGCACTTGATCCTGTAATGATTGGATACTACCCGATCGTAGAATATCCATACTGTATTTTCCGAGTTTTCTGAATGACACTCAGAAAGGTTCTATTTTCAGTTTAGTTTACATCGATAGAGTATTATGGACCCAGAAGGAAGGTTGTATAAGTCCAATTCTGTATATTCCACCCTGAAAGAGTATGTATACATCACTATGTACATGGGATATGTAGTAAATACTTGCTTCATATCAAATGTCTGCATAGCTACTTGTATGTGGAAATATGATTCATATGTCAGAAGGTAATCTCAAAGAAATGGCACTTGGGAAAAGTACGCTTGGGAATTTCTATACACTGGGGCAAAATCAGGCATGTTCCTGATTCAGTGTCATTTGGTTACAGCTCTGTTGGTCATTCAGTCACCTGGATGTTTGCTCTTTGCTGGCTATTTGTTAGAAAGGCTAACTTAGTAGTTAGTTAGTAACTTAGCAGTTAACTAAGCAAATCAACTTAGTCCACTTCCTGTTTGTTTAAACAAGCCAGCATGCCTTCACAATTAACTTCTTTGTGGATTTCATTGTTTTCTAGTGTTCTCAAAAATAAGAGCTAATGAGCTAATGATGCACAATAACATGTGCGGTTCCCTTTTCAAAATAAGGAGCATGTTCCTTCCTCATTTGAAGTTGAGTCATCATCCCCCTTTACTGGAGACAGTCCACGGGATGGAGGCCTGTGCTGCCCCTGGTGGCAGGAAGAGGTGTGGTGGCCAGCACTGCCCAGGGAGGGGGACTGGGACCAGCCCCAGTTGGGGGGTGGAGGGCAGCTTGTAGCTGTGGGGCCTCTAGACTCCTGGGAGAGGAACCTGCTGCCCCCAGTCCCCCTGCCAGGCTAGGTAGGACTGTCCATACAGAACAGGTCATGTGCAGAAGGCATGTTTGATCTCCTGCGAGCATTTTCAGATGTGAGCAGCTGTCATGTTGGGTGTGTGTGTGAGTGCAAACTGTGTACTCTTCCTTTTAATAAAATTTAAACTTCAGCTTGTGTCCATTGACATGAGCTGTTACTGAGAGGAGGGCAGCAACTCGTCTGCCACTTAGGGTGACCGCTGTGCTGCTTTGACCCATCAGTCCTTGAGGAAATGAGGGGTTTGTAGCCATAAACTTCCTGTGTCTTTGGTTTTTGTTTTCTGTTGTTTGTTTGTTTTGGTGGATGTTTTGATACTTATTGCACAACCCTGCTAAACAAATAACTCATTTGCTTTGATGAGGTCAGACCTTCTGCGGTGAGAGCCTCTGCTTGTCCTTAGGAACTGTTCCTGTTCCCGCTGGGCGTCCATGGGACATGGTGGACAAGAGGCTGTGAGGGCACCATGGTGGCTCGGGGGCCTGACAGCCTCTCTCACCCACAGACCGCTCCCCGTCCCACCCTAGCCCCCTGAACCGCTCGGCCTCCCTCAGCTACCCGGACCGTGTGGACCTCTCGAGCACAGCGCTCTTGGCAGGCAGCAGCAACCAGCTGAGCAGCTCCGTCCTGGGCCAGTACGTGTCTGACTTCAGTGTCCGGGCGCTCACAGACCTACAGTACATTAAGGTGAGCTTGACCCATGCGACCTCTGGCCTTGGCCATGCCGCAGGAACCAGCAGCTCACCCGCTCCCCAGCACACCCAGCAGGCATGCCGCCTTCTGCCCTGCACCTCACCCTCCCACAGACTCCCAGATGGCTCGTGGCCATCCTCTGGACTCACATCCTCCTTCCTGCTGGCCTCATGCAGAGCTGATCCCCAGGCCTGCTCTCTGTGACTGTCCCCCCACCCCCACCCCCAGCCTCAGGCAGGGCTGACCCCAAGGCCTGCTTTCTGTGACACACGGCCTTCCCTCTTGCAGATCACCCGGCAGCAGTACCAGAATGGGCTGCTGGCCTCGCGGATGGAGAACTGCCCTCAGCTTCCCCTGGATGGGTGCACCATCTGCACGGAGAACCTGGCCGAGAAGCCAGAGCTGCCCGTGGTGGACGAGACCACAACTCTCCTGAACGAACGCAACGCCTCTCTGCGCAGAGCTTCCCCTGAGAGCACCATCTGACAGAAGGGCCCGGGGCCCCCTGCCAGCTCCACAGGGGCCGCCCCAGTGGGCCCACATGAGGACAGGGAGCCCGTCAGGCCAGACGGGGTGCAAGTGGCTTGTCTAACTGAGCAGCCATGTGGCCCCCAGTCCACGGGGGAGCTGACCTCTGCCAGGGAACTGTGAGCAGCTCAGAGCAGCGGCTGCCCTGCCCTGGACCATGGGTCCTGGGCAGCCACCATGAGCATGGTGTTTTTTTTTACTGGAGACTTTCTAAACTAGGCTTATTGCTCCTCTTTAAAAATATCATCTGGGGAAGGGAAGACAGGGTTAAGGAACATTATATTAAGAAATTGTTGTTTTCCACAAAAACTTTTAAAGGGGTGGGGTTTCTCACCCTGGGAAGCAATAGCCATAATCTGCTCCCAGCCACAACCTTCTGGCTGTGCCCCCGACTCAGGGAGCCCACTTGTCCTCCCTCATCCTCCAGAGACGGGGTCCCAGAGGCCCAATGGAGGAAGGCATTCTCTTGGGAGGACAGTTCTTTCCAGGAAGCAAAGAACCAAACAGCACTGAGAACAACCTGACATGTGCACGGAGGCTTGTCTAACGTCACTGAGGCCAAGGGATCCGGGCAGCTATGACCAGGGACAGATACTCCCAGCTGCAGAGGGGCATGCCTGCTCCTGTCACTTGCTGGATCCAGGAATTTCTGAGAACTCTGCTGATGGGCTCTCCTGGTGAGTTTGGGCCAGTGAGACTCACACCTCTGTCCCCATAGGTTCACCTCACATCTGCCCCTTTGGACAAGTCTCCCCTTGTAATGGGGCTGACCCAGGTGTTAGGCAGTGTCTCCCATCTTTCAGATTGCTCACCCCTGCTCCCCAGGCTGCCCTCACTTTTACCAAAGATTTCCCCCTGGGTGGGGACAGCATCTATGTTCGCGGTGACTTGGCTGTGATACTCCTTTCAGTTCCAGGAGGGAATCTGGTCATGGGCATCTGCGTTGTTAGCAAGTGATACCATCCCTTCCCCACCCCACAACCAAAGTCCAGTCTAGTCAGTGACCCAGGAACCCTGCTTTCCAGACTCCCTACTTCTAATCCCAAACCCCAACGCCTCTTGGGGGCGGAGGATTGAGGACATGCAGGAAGCCAGCCTCGGTAGGTTCTGCATGCCCTGTCCTCTGGCTAGGCTTACCTGCCCTGTTCACACACTCCCAGAACCCAAGAAAGGTTCCCACCTCAAAGGCACACAACCGGCAGCCCTGTGTCCCCCATGTCATAACCCTATGGTGAGGTGTCATCCTGGCCTATGCTGAAGCTGGTGGTACTGGACCCCCAGAGCTCCACACCCACGTGAACTCTGGCCCTAGCGCCTTTCCCTGGGGCTGAGTCAGGCCCTGACGCACAGCTCTAGGCTCCCCATTCCTGGAAGGCTTTGGGACCAAGGACCATGTTGGCCCTTTTGTCGGGTGGCACAGTTGCTGGGGCCCAAGATCAGGTGAGGGCGGCTCTGCAGGCCTTGGGCCTGAGTATTGTCTGTTCACTCCTTCCGCAGCCAAGTGCTCTGCGCTTCATTCAGGTGCCTGGAGAACCCTATGTCTTGGGACCAGGTAATGTCTTGCACCAAGTATGCCTGCCCCTGGCCAGTCACAGAGTTTATTCCTAAAGGTCTGGAGAGAAGGTGATGACACTCATGGGTTCTCAGACACCAGACTTTTGTTTCCTGTTGGGGGACCCCTTAGTTTTCTACAGGAGCAACTTGCTTCCCGAGTTCACACGGGAGCTTGCAAAGTGGTGTTCCTGAGACCTGAGTGCCAGGCGGGGCCAAGTGCATTGGCCTGAACCGAGTGAGTGTGTGTGAAGTACAAGGAGTGGGCACACACACTTCCACAGCTACCTCTTTGTGCACACACAGTTCCTATCAACAACGCTCCCTCCTTCCCTGCCCCTCCCTTCCCTTCCCCATTTATAATCTCTTCTTGCAGAGGGTCGTAATTACTTCCAGATATTACTGGTCCATGACTTCTTCCTCCCAGTGCAATTTTTCACTTCCTATTCCAACCTCTGATTCCTGGGCTGAGCCCTACCTTGGAACTGGCCCATCCCTGCACGTCTTCCTGTGTAAGGGAGAACTGTGCAGATGGCCTCCAAAGGAGTAGGCAAGTCACAGCCACCGTAGCAAAGAACTCTTATTTATTTTGCATAAGATTTTAATTTGTATATTTTTGTGATTTATTTTGGCATTGTTATGAGTTTGACTCTCGGGGAGTTTTGTTGTTACGACTCTTGTGTCTTTTGTCAGAAAATGATAATATTTGCTAAACAATATATGGAATTTATTTTTTGATTGGTAATAAAAAATGAAACATGAAATCTTGGTGAGTCTACAGTTTACCTATTTGAGTTCTGTCAATATTCGGTACCTCTCATAGAGCTAGAAGTGGCTGTGATTAGTTGTCACCTGTGTGAGGGCAAGGGGCAAGTATTCTATAAGGGCTGTTTAGCAGTAAAAAGGAGGCAGCAATGTAATTTACAGCACATAAAATTAAGGTTGTCATCACAGGAGCTGCTGGACATGCATGGTAAAGGTGCTCGGCGTGAGAGGGACACCACGGGGTCTCCTGCCTGCGGGTCCTGGAGGGGCAGCTGGAATGAGCATATCAGCCCTCCTCTCTCTCCCCTGGGGGCTGAAGGAGAAAGGAGCTTGATCCAAAAACAGGATCACATTGTTTTATAACATGCAGTTGCCTTTTCGTCCACCCATGGGCTAGTCGTGGTCTCAAAGTGGGAGTGCTCATCCCCGAAGTGCCTGTCTGAGACTGAGTGACCTTACTACATCCACTCCTGCGATGCCCATAGGTGCCTCAGCTGGGGCGTGACTCAAGCCAGCGGTCTTCACAGCAGACAAATTGGGGGGAATGTTTAAAGAGAGAGTCACTTACTTGGGTTGGCAGAAAGAACATTCCAGATAAAAGGAATTACATGCAAAAATTTGTGTATAGGAGGGAAGAGTAAATTTCATCCATCCACCTGTTCCACACCAGTGCCACCAGCCCCTCAGTGAGTTTAATGAGGCAGACCCCCTAGGGAGATAGTCACACAGGGACCCTTGGATTTGCGGTCACCTCTGCCAGCAACACTTTTCCTCCAGGGCTTGTGAGGCTCACCTCCTGCTCTATCTAAGCCTCTATGCAAATATAACCTTAGAGAAGCCTTCCCTGTCACCCTACATAAAACAGCTCGGCCCCAATCCTGTCTCCTTTTGTTTTTCTCCATAGTATTTGAATGCCAGATATTAAAATACGATTTGAACATTTCCTGTTGTCCCCATACTAGAACCTGAGCTCCAGGAGGGCAGGTACTTTCTTATTCCCACTTAAGTTCCAGCACTAGAACAGGACCTGGTACACTGCAGGCACTCAATGCAGGAAATACCTGTCCAACAAATGAAAATGAATGAATGGGTCTACAATAAGTACTGGATGCTACTGGGTACGAGTACACAGCTCCAGTAACCTTGACCCACTTAGTCAAGATGGTCAAGGAAGACCAGCTGGAGTTAATGATATTTGCAGACTTGAGAGAGAAGCAGGAATTAGCCAGTGAAGCCACAATAGCTATGGGTTTAAAATTCAAACATTTAGATAAAACATAGAAATATCTTGAACCGAATAACCAGTAAGGGAAATGGAGGGTCAACGAGGGACTTGAAGGTCAAGTAGCCACTGATGCTGTGACTAACCAGGGGGGAGGAAGAAGCTGGTGAAGTACTGTGAGCCTCTTACTGTTACCGGGAGGGCACTCCTGAGCAGCTGCCCTGCACTAGATCATTTAGGTCTTTGCGTATTGACAGTTTTCCGAGTGCGATCCAATTGCTTCAAGTGTCTGTACAAAGGCTTTCCAACAAAATGAGTTATAGGTCACTTCCCTAGGGAGCCTGGGACCAAGGAAGAAGTAGAAGTGCAGTGACAGATCCAGGCATTCCTGACAAGAATGGCTGGGATAGGACGGGGGTGTTAGGTCGCGTTCGAACTCAACATCCCTGCTGAGTCACGCTTCATTTTTACCCTGGAAAATAATAACATGAAGTAGAGGCGAGAGTCCAAGGTTTCCTTTTTTTTCGCCCAAGGGCTGCGTCTTCGTCCCCGGACCTACAGCGGGGTCGGGCTACATCAACAAGCATCTTACGGAACCTTAGCTTCCCGGTGCCCAGTCCCGGTTCTCCTTTCAGTCTTCCCTGCCTCAAGGTCGGGGCCTTACCTCAGAAAGCGGCACGTCTTCCTCATACCGAGACCTCCGCCTACGGGGGCCCACTCTGTGTTCCAGCCAGGGCCCTCCCAGAGCTGGAGGTGTGGCGCGGGTGGCCACACCTCGGCCGGAGCACCCTGTCCACCCCGGGGGCTGTCAGCCCCGCCCCCGGCCCGCCCCCGGCCCCGGCCTGCCCCCGTCCCCGGCCCGCGCCGCTTGTTTACGCCCGGGCGCAGCGTAGCGCCTTGGGCCCGCCCCCACGCACCGCCCATTGGTGAAGGGGGCATGAGGCCGACGCCGATTGGCCGGAGGAGGCGGAGGTAGGCTGCGCGGAGGCCGAGAGCGGGCAGCGGGCGATGGCGGTGGTGGTGGTGGTGGCGGCGGCGGTGGTGGGGTGGTTGGGCTGGCTGCTGGCCGCGCTCTGCCTGGGCCACGCCGCCGGGGAGGCAGCGCCGGGCCCGCGAGTGCTGGGCGTCTGCCTGGAACAGGCCGGGGCCGCGGGCGCGGTGTGGGCGCGCGGAGGGGAGGTGTTGGCCGCGCCGGAGGCCACCTTCCGCCTGCGCCTCTTCGGCTCGGGCTTCGCCAACAGCTCCTGGTTCTGGGCGGCCCCCGAAGGAGCGGGTTGCCCCGAGGGCGGGCCGGTTATAGTGCCCGGTGAGGCTCCGGCCTCGACGGGCGAGTGGCGCGCGCTGTTGCGCCTGCGCGCCGAGGCCGAGCGCCCACAGTCGGCGTTGCTGGCCGTGCGCGGGGAGCCTGGTGGCACGGCAACCGGGGAGGCGGCAGCCCCCGTAGGCGAGTGGCACGCGCTGCTGCGCCTGCGCGCTGAGGCCGTGCTCGCGGAGCCCAGCGGCGAGACTGCCGAGGAGGCGGCGCCGCCCTGGGTGCTGGGCCTGGGGGCGGCGGGGCTGCTGGCACTGGCGGCGCTGGCGCGGGGCCTGCAACTGAGCGCCCTGGCACTGGCGCCGGCCGAGGTACAGGTGCTGCGCGAAAGCGGCTCGGAGGCGGAGCGCGCGGTGGCGCGGCGCCTGGAGCCGGCGCGGCGCTGGGCGGGCTGCGCCTTGGGCGCGCTGCTGCTGCTGGCTAGCCTGGCACAGGCTGCGCTGGCGGTGCTGCTTTACCGCGCAGCCGGCCAGCGCGCCATGCCCGCTGTGCTAGGCAGCGCTGGGCTCGCTTTCCTCGTGGCCGAGGTGCTGCCGGCCGCCGTAAGCGGGCGCTGGACGCTGGCTCTGGCCCCGCGCGCGCTGGCGCTCAGCCGCTTGGCCGTGCTGCTCACCCTGCCCGTGGCCTTGCCCGTGGGGCAGCTGCTCGAACTGGCGGCACGGCCCGGGCGGCTGCGCGAGCGCGTGCTAGAGCTGGCGCGCGGCGGTGGAGACCCCTACAGCGACCTCAGCAAGGGCGTGCTGCGGTGCCGGACGGTGGAAGACGTGCTCACGCCGCTTGAGGACTGCTTCATGCTAGACGCCGGCGCCGTGCTGGACTTCGGCGTCCTGGCCAGCATCATGCAGAGCGGCCACACGCGCATACCCGTGTACGAGGAGGAGCGCTCCAACATCGTGGACATGCTCTACCTCAAGGACTTGGCCTTCGTGGACCCCGAGGACTGCACGCCTCTCAGCACTATCACCCGCTTCTACAACCACCCGCTTCACTTCGTCTTCAACGACACCAAGCTGGACGCCGTCCTGGAGGAGTTCAAGCGAGGTAACGTCTGGGAATCGCGGAGGGGACTCTAAAGCCTGTGCCCGCACCCCCTATAAAAGGGGTTGGGGCTCATGGAAGCCTCTGGAGAGCAGTGAGACCTGTAAGTGCCCTTTTAAAGAAGATGATGACGTTGCAGCTCTGAATAACCTTTTGAAATATTTAAAGGCTGTTGTTTAGAGGGTGACACAGTGCTATAGACAGCCAAACCCCCCTTTTCTTGGTAGGTCCCCAATTTGAAGAGGTATGTCCACTAGGCTCCAAATCCCTAGCTCTTTCCCTCTCCAGGTCATTTTTGTGGGCTTTGCAGCAGGTCTAAACTCTTGGATAGAAACTATAAGAATGTAGAAAAGAGTGTATTCCCCAGGTACCTGGAAGCTGTTCTGTGCACACATATACCGGTGCACTTCAGAAATAGCGTTGGGTTCCAAGACCACAGCAAAAAAGCGAATCCAAATCTTCTTGCTGGTGGAGGGTCTTGCCTTTAATTTCTGAAAAATGCAACACCTGTGAAGCACAATAAAATGAGGGATGCCCGTGGTGTTTCCAGGTCGTCATTGTTCAGGTCACTGATGGGCTGCTGCTTCCTGAGTGCAGAAAACAGAGGAATTGAAAATACCTTTCTGTAGGTGTGGATGAAACTGTCACTTGGATTTAACCAAAAGCAACTTCATGGGTGCTAATTCAGTCTTCCCTTCAGCTGTCTTTTTTTTTTCTTTTTTTTAACTTCCCCTTTTCTAACCCTGAGTGAGGTCTTTCATGTTCTCCCTTAACTCCGCATTTTCACCCTCATGTTTGACCTTGGTTTACCTGAGCAACTCTAAGGTTGCAGGTAAAAGCACCCACCCTCCAAGTGTGAAGGTGTGGTTTCCTGTGCAATCCTCTCCATGACCAGGTGTGCTCCCCAGAGCTCCTTGACCGCCTCAAATCTGAACTCCTGCAGGATGAGCACCAGGGGACACCCCAGGAGTATGGGTGGCCTTAACCTTGAAGACTGCATAATGTGAGACCAGGAAGTGAGCAAAGCCCCCTGATCTTCCTGGCACCTATGAGGTGTCCTGGCTCCAGGCCCCCCTGGGAGGTGCTCTGAGTCCCTGATAGTCAGTTGGGAAGGTAGAGCCTTGTGACCATATGACTCCTGCATTAGCGCTGTGTATACCAGACACTAGTGGGCGTTCACATGTATCATGTCCTCATCTTGCCTAGAGGCTTGCCTAAGGAAGGTTGTTAGCTGGCTACTTGAACTCCTGTGTCTCTGATGGCCTGGGAGGCTGCTGTGGTGGCAGCTCTGACTGCTCTGCTAGAGAATCTCTTGGGTGTTCCCCGCTGCCTCACTAGAAAGTGGCCATGCAGCCCTTCTATGGGGCGGGGAGCACTAGGTGGGGGCCTGACAGAGCCTCTTAGTGGTAAGTACTCTATTTGGGCCACTGTCGTGTTCTAGGCAGTGGTGGCCTGGTGGCCAGCAGGCTGGACCTGGAGTAAGCGAGGGAAGGGCTCTTTCCATCCCACCCTGCCGCCTCCCAGTTTGAGAACCTGGGAAGGCTGGACTTGCCACCAGATGACACCTGTGAGTAGAGCATGGTGCTGCCTGAGTGCATTTCATGATCACTGACTGGTGTGGAGATCAGGGGTTTGGGGGTGCAGAGGAGAGAGGGTGGCAGGCTGAACAGGGTGCACAGGGGCCTGGAGAGGAGACCCAAGAGGGCTTTTGAAGGTGACATGGGGAGGGTTTTGTGGTTGGCCCAGAGGCTTGGGAGAAGCTGAGGATGAGGCAGAGCACATGCAGGGAAGAGGGGGGTGTGGGGTGGTCCTAGACGGTGGAGTTTGCACAGTGGCCCGAGGCAGAGTCCTAGGGGGCAGGTGACGGGAAATGTAAGTGAAGGACCCGAGTGGAGGTAAAAGTGGCCCCTCAGCCACAGGAGGGACAGGAAGCCTAAACATGAGGGGAGCAGGCATGTCTGGGGGAGGGTGGCAGATGAGAGGCTGCTGAGGAGATCCAGCGGCTCGGAATGTCCTGGAATCGGGAAGAGACCTCTTACCAAAGGAGAGTGATCAGGAGAGGAGCCAGCATACTGTCGTCTGGATCAAGCAAGCAGGGTACCCTTGTCCTTTGCGAGAGCAGGTGGGGTGCCATGGCATGGAATGTTGGAGTGCACGACCCATGAGAGGTGTGCCAGCTTGTGGACAGGCCTCCCATGGAGCGTGGCCGCAGAGCAGAAGTCAGAGAGGGTGGCTGGGCCAGGAGGCTGGGTTTACATAGGTTTGGCAGAGAGGGAGAGGCCTAGAAGGACAGCCTGAGAGATTGCCATGGTCTGGGCCACACCTGTGCTAGGCGATACTCTTGGGATTCTGGAAAGCTAAGCAGGTTTCATGTGGCCTCATGCCAACCTATAGGTACCCTACAACTATGCCAACCCATAGCCACCTTACTAAGAACTGCTAACGGTAGCTACTGCTAACAATTACTAATTAATACTACCAACAACTACCACTAACAGTAACTAACAACTATTATTAGCAGTAACTACTACTAACTACCACAAACAGTAACTACTACTAACTGCCACTAACAATCACTCCTACTAACAACTACTGGAAGCCGCTGGGGTGACTTGCAACCTGCAGGTTGAGTGGGGGCACCTCTATCCCCTCGCCGCCTCTCCTGTGGTGAGTGAGGACCACTCTTGGGTCAAGATGGCCGCCTCTTTCCTGTGACATCCTGGAGTTCTCTCTGCTGCTTATGCAGTGTGGTCCTTTGGCAGATCTCCTCATTTGTCCTCTCCCGAGTCCTTTTTAGCCTGACGCCCTTCTTCATTCTGCTTATGAAGAAAGGGCATATTGCAACCTGCATGGTGCTGAGGTTTTAGAACTTGGTTCCTGTCCTACCTGCCCAGCATGTGAGGAGCTGGTGCCTCTGAGTTCCTGCAGCTGGAACCCCTGGCATCTTGGCAGCTGCCCTTCTGGGTCCAGTGCTGTTGTGCTTCCCAGGCTAAGTCAGGGAGAGCCACTTTCCCCATGGGGTGCCCCTGGTTGGTGTGCAGACTTGAGGTGACACCATTTATCTTGTGCAAACGTTATCAGGAAGAGTGAGTACTTTGGAGCTGTGTTAAATAATGTGTGTTTTCCTTAGAGCCATCACCCCTGCTTTCTTTGTCAGCCCCTCATGAGATAGTTCAAGGACGTTCAGCCAGAGGTGGGGTTGCGGTGCGTGAGTTTGTCAGTCCCTGCTTTAAACCACCTGAGTTCTGGTTCACTGTCAGAAGCCACAGCTCTGAGGAGCCAGACTTGCTGTGGGGAATGCTAGCAACGTGCTTTCTCATAGGAAAGATTCAGACAGTTGCTTTAAAAAGCAAAAAAGAGCAGGCAGAGGAATTTAAATTCCAGCTGCATTTTTAAGAATATCCTGGAGGGCCGGCCGAGTGGTGTGATGGTTAAGAACTGGCTTGGGACGCCAGAGGGCCCTGGTTCGGATCCCACATATGAGGGCCAGTGACACTGCCCTCTACAGCTAAGATGCTCAACAACAGCTCAACCTGGAGCTGGGCTGCCGTGAGTCGCCGTGAGTCACTGGCGACAGAGTAGGCTGCAGCCCCTGTGGCAGTGGGTTGCCATGGACTACCGTATGTAGCCAGCAGCCAGCGTGAGCGGCCAGCAGCCGCAGTGAGCAGCCATCCAGAAGCCGGCGACTGATCTGCCTTGCCTGGGAAGAGCGCAATGATGGTGCCAACTTGGGCCAGTGAAGCAACGTCCTCCACAACTAGACTGAAGAACAAAATGACAGCAACTTGTCTGTTCTCCTTCCCTCAATTCCCAATAGAAATCTTTAAAAAAAGAATATCCTGGAAAGGGGGCGTTCCAGAAGAGTCCTCTAGCTTCCATATAATTGATGAGTACCCTTTGCGCCTGCTGACTAACTGAAATTCAGCTGGACAGAGCTTTTTCAGGGCTTTCTGGTGGATGTTGGTAAGATGGGCCATCTGCCCTGTCCCTCTGGAGAGCTTGCCCAGAGAGCCCACGGGCCCCGCTGGGCTGGGGCCTGGGTCTGTGTGTACGGTCTGCCAGCTTTCAGAGCCTTTTATCCCATCGGATGAGAAGAATTTAATCCCTCCAATTGCCCTTTCTCACCATTGCCTTCTGGACCCCTCAAACATTGTCTTGATATGAAATCATACGGCCACTGTTTTAGGGGCAGGTCACTGAGAAACTTTTGCCTGTTTCATAGAGGTTTGAAAGTAAGGGAGAAGTGAGTCTGTTCTGCAGGTAGCCCCTGCCAGAGCGAGTAGCTTTCTGGAGGAAGGGAGCTGAAACGGGTCCTCTGGTCGTGGATGGCCAGCGAGTGCCTGGGAGTCTGGGCTTTAGTTCCACAATCTGAGAAGACTGCTGGCCAGAATTGTGTGTCATGCCTTGGCCTTCCTGACACTTGTTTCGTGGCAGGGCCGCTATGGCCCCTTGTAGAAATGGAGCCACTCCCAGCAGAAATATGAAGGGGTGGAAAATGTCTAGGAACGCTGTGTTCCCCATTCAGTGCCCAGCTCAGCCGCAGTGGGCAGATCCTTCTCCAGGGACCCTGGTTTTTTCCTTCAGAAAGGAGGACACAGTGTAATGTGGTCATTTTACCTTCCATTTCTGTCTGAGGATATCAGAGCATCCTCTAGAACAGGTCGGCAAACTGCGGCTCGCGAGCCACGTGTGGCTCTTTGGGTACGTACATGTGAGCAATTTTTTGTGTGATGTTTTCTTATTTTAATAGATATAATTAATACTATTACTTGTTATGATATTACTTTAAATTTTCCTTATTTGTAAAAATATATTTATGGCTCTCGAATAATTTTTAAATTGTTGTGAAGGACAGGATTGGCTCTTCAGTCTCAAAAGTTTGCCGACCCCTGCTCTAGGAGAAAAAGAAGGATGTTTTCTTTCCTTTAGAAGGTCCCTGAGGGGAGGGTCTCCTGAGACCTGGTCTGTGAGGTTGAGAATGGACTCCAGAGTCAGCTGCCTGGGTTCGAATCTGGGTTTGTACTTGGGTAGGTTACTGACCCTCCCGTGATTGCATTTTGTCTGCATGCTCTAAAATGGGAATAATAATATATGCCTCTGAGAATTGTTAGAGGGCTCAGTGCGTTACTAAGTGAGGAAAGCCCTTGGTGGTCAGCACACAGTAAGCACTACATATGTTTTAGCCTCTGCACGCAGGCTGTGCCTTACAACTGATGGCATCTCAGATTTGATGGCATGCAGTGTTACCTCCATATTCTTTACAGCCTCATCCTTTCTTGACCTTCTGGTTAGTGGTCTAATAATAGTACAGTAATACCTTTCAGTCTTGACATTTGCATTCCACCCACCCACGTATACCCAATCTATTAGGTTTAGGGGGTGGGGTTGACACGGATGCTGAAGGAATGGGTGCAGCATGCCAATTAGAGTTCGAAGAGTGTGCTTATAAACTTAGTGCATTGTAATTATGTATAGGATGACTTACACAAAGAAGGAACTCAACTGTCTTCTTTACCAAGATTCTTGAAGCATGGACCTTACTCTATTTGCGCAATCTGTTCTCACTGGGAACCAGGGTGCAGTTGGGATGCGTCTTCGAATCTGGCTCTGTGGCCCTGCACAGCCCAGTTGTCACTGTTCCAACCTGAAATGTGCTTTAGGTGGAAACACCAGACTTCAAAGACTTGGTACAAAAAAATAGAACATCTATTAATATTTTTATGTTGATTGCATGGTGTAGTGATGTTTTGGCTGTATTGAGTTAATTACAATATATTATCAATTTCACCTGGGCCTTTTTTTTTTTTAAGATTTTTATTGGGGAATTGGGGGAGGGGAACAGACAAGTTGCTGTCCTTTTGTTCTTCAGTCTAGTTGTGGAGGATGTCACTTTACTGGCCCATGTTAGTATTATCATTGCGCTTTTCCCAAGTGAGGCAGTAGCTTGCTGGCCATTGGACGGCGGTTCAGGCGGCTCACGAAAGCTCACGCCCGCTGCTGGCCAGCCCCACTGCAGCCTATGCCGTTGCCGGTGACTCACAGTAGCCCAGCTCCAGGTCGAGCTGTTGTTCACCATCTTAGCTGTAGAGGGCGCAGCATCACTGACCCTCATGTGGGATCTGAACCGGGACCCTGCTGCTCAGAGCTGGCGTCCCAAGCCAACTCCTAACCAATGTGCCACTTGGCCGGCCCTTTTTTTTTTTTTAATATATTTATATTCCTCTTTTTTTTTTCTTAAACTTTATTGGGGAACAATGTGTTTTTTCCAGGACCCATCAGCTCCAAGTCAAGTTGTTGTCCTTCAGTCTTAGTTGTGGAGAGCGCAGCTCATGTCCAAGTCCAGTCACCATTTTCCATCTAGTTGTGGGGGGACACAGCTCACCATCCCATGCAGGAGTTGAACCGGCAGCCTTGTTAAGAGCATGCACCCTAACCAATTGTGCTATCCGGCCGCCCACCAGCTGGGCCTTTTTTAATGGAGCTACTCAAAAATTTTAAATTACTTGTGTGTCTTGCGTTGTTTCTTTTGGACAGTATAAAGTTTTATAGATGAAGAGTAGTTACCTGAAGCAGAGTAAATTCCAGAGGTTTCCCCAACATTCCCTGGCATTGGGCATTTTTTCAAGTTTACGTTTCCGTACTAAACAAACAGGAAGCCAGCCAATCATGAGGGACAGGAGGGGGACGCTCCCACAGCTGGTCCCACACGGCTGGCTCTGACTGGGCAGTTACCATGTACTTTCATCTCCCCTGCTTAGACAATCCCAGGAAAGCCTGCATTTCAGGAGTCGGTGTCTTGTGTCCACAATCTGTCTGATGCATCCTTGTGTAAGTCAGGTTCATGGCTTGAAGCCACGCAGACGCAGGTCTCACTGCAGCTCTGCTGCCTCGTGGTGGCCTTGTGAGGTGAACGCAGTGTCTGGGATTTAGCTTCCTGCCTGTGGAGTACCAGTGCCTGGCACCTTGTAGGGACACAAACATCATTGTCTGTCCTTTCAGTGGGCTTGCACCAGGCAGGAATAAGAAACATGGGAGACCCCAGCATGCTGTAACAGGTGCGTTTCCTCCCCCAGGGAAGTCCCACCTGGCCATTGTGCAGAAGGTGAACAACGAGGGTGAAGGCGACCCCTTCTATGAGGTCTTGGGCCTGGTCACCTTGGAGGACGTCATTGAGGAGATCATCAAGTCCGAGATCCTGGACGAGTCTGAGGACTACCGTGAGTTTTGCCTCCCATCAGTTTTCTGGCCACTGAGATGTGTGTTTTAGGGCGACGGGTTTCAGGTCTGAGCTGTTGCCTCCCTGCAGGAGGGCCCACCCTTGTGCCTGATGCAGAGCTGTGGGGGCTTATCCCAGTGCCTGTGTGGGACTCTGCCCTTGGTGGCCTTTCCCAGTCTCTCCTTACTCCTTTTACTTCTCAGGTGCTTTTGTGCATTACAGAAGTGTCTTCTCAAAGACCCTGCTCTTCACTACTGAGAGGGTCTCCCCAGGACCTGACTCTGGCCCATGGGTGTGTCTTAGAAGCGTCTGCTTCTTAGGGTGGGTGGCAGGGCAGACGCAGATCCCATGCTTGATGGATGGGGCCTCACGTGACTTGTGGGACACTGGGCTGCGTCCTGTGCACTGTCAGGTGAACCACTTTGCTCATGTGTATGTCCCACAGTGCGGCAGCTTTAGTTCTCACTGCTGCCATGTATCACCAGCGGCCCCCAGTGTGCATGCCTGGGGATGGGCTCCCAGTGTGAATGGGCTCCCAGTGACCAAGGGTGTCTGTCACTTTGTTGCAGCTTTGATGTCATGTCAGCATTACCTTCTCGCAACTCCAAGGAGAGGCACAGTCCTTTCCTGTACTCCTCGGGGTGTAGCTTAAATGGGGGCTGCTGCCCATCCTGGGCCCCAGGGTTACTGTGTGGTGGGAATGGCAGCCAGGCACCATCCATGGAGCAGTGGCACAGATGTGTCCCCAGGCTCGGATCTGTCTCCCAGGCCTGTGGAGGGGCGTGAGCAACGTGCCCTTGGATTACTTGTGTTGCCAGGAGGGCTGCAGGTACCTAAGTTGGCCTTCTGCTCACCCATTATCCCAGGAGACTCCACGGTAGGGAGGAGGAGGAAGCCAGTGTGTCTGAGCGCCCCTGTCAGGCGGAAGGAGGAATTCTCCTTGTTCAAGGTGTCCGAAGATGAGTATAAAGTGAAGATCTCGCCTCAGCTGCTCTTGGCCACCCAGCGCTTTCTTTCCCGAGGTGAGGGTGGAGGGCGGGCCTGGGCCCTGCTCCCTTGCTCACTGTGGGTAAGGAGACCCCAGGGCAGACACCGATGGCACCCGTTCCCAGTGAGCAGGCGAGTGTCAGGAGACCCCATGCTTCTCCTGCAGCCCTGTCAGCAGAGACACTCGACACTCTCAGGGCACCTGAGGGGGCAAGGCTGGTGCCACTTGTGCGAGCCTTGGCTGGTGGGTACATGTGGCTGCCTGGTGGCTCTCGTGTTGGGGAGGGGACTTAGCTCCTGGACCAGCCGGGAGCACCAAGGTGGGCATCAGGAGTCAGTGAGGTAACGCAGGCCACCCTGGGCCCGGTGGACACTGTCCCTTTTGTCTGCAATGGGCAGAGGTGGACGTGTTCAGCCCACTGCGAGTGTCCGAGAAGGTCCTGCTACATTTGCTGAGGCACCCCAGCGTCAACCAGGAGGTGAGGTTTGATGAGAGCGACCGCCTGGCGGCACACCATTACCTGTACCAGCGTAGCCAGCCGGCGGACTACTTCACCCTCATCCTGCAGGTAACCAGGAGCCTGGCAGGGACAGCCCTGTGAACGCGGGATGGGGCCACTCCTGTGCTCCCCTCCTCCCCCGGCAGCAGGGTAATCCGCGCTTCTTTGTCTCCCTCCCTCCACCTCCCAGGGCAGGGTTGAGGTGGAGATTGGGAAGGAGGGCCTGAGATTCGAGAATGGGGCCTTCACCTACTATGGCGTGTCTGCCCTGACAGTGCCGTCCTCGGGTAAGCTGCAGCCCCTCCTGGCCCAGGGTCCTGTGTCCCTTCCTCCAGCGCCACGTCTACTGCAGGGCGGGCGGCTCGGGCCTGCTCACTTTTGTCCTCTCTGAGCCGCGCAGGGGACAGGGGCAGGGGCAGCTTCTTTTCACGGCTCATCTTTGCTGCTCACTCTCATCCCTGTAAAACCTTTCCCTGGAGAAAGTGTGTCTGCCAACTCTCCAAAGTTCCTGGCCACAGTCCCTTTCCAGGGTGATTTGTGGGGTGTGTCTTAGAGGCTGTGCAGTTGTTCCCTCCAGGGCGGGGCTGCCCGTTCCCAGCACAGCCTTGCCATTACTGGTTGTTCCTTTCGCTAGTTCACCAGTCCCCAGTGTCCTCGCTTCAGTCCCTCCTGCAGCCGGAGCCAGCCGACGGCACCCACTTGTCCGCATATTGTCCTGACTACACCGTGAGGGCCCTTTCCGACCTGCAGTTCATCAAGGTAAGGTGATTGTGTGGGCTTCTTATTGGTGCTGGCTTCCAGCCAGCCTTGTGTCCGCCAGGGGCTAGACCCCCTGGTCACCAGTTTGTGTGAATTGAGAGTAAAGTCTGATGGAGTCCGAGACTTCCCAGTCAGTGAAAACCTTGAACTACTCTGCAGGACCATGACCTTGGGTCCCCTGAGACCCCTCTGACACCACTGGTCTGGTCCTGTCACTGGGCCTTGGCACCTGGGTTCCTTCTGAGAGCCTAGAAACACTTTGCTTGATTCTTGTCTCTCTCCTCAGCCAGCTTGCGGTTGTCGCTTTCTGCTCATCCTGCCGAATGTGACTTTCTCCCCTGATTTGGGTGCTCATGGGCAGGAGGGATGTTATGACCATGTGTCTCATTCTGTCCTCCAGGTCACGCGGCTGCAGTACCTCAATGCACTCCTAGCCACGCGAGCCCAGAACCTGCCACCGTCCACCGAAAACTCGGACCTCCAGGTCATCCCAGGCAGCGAGACCACGCTCCTCGGCAACAGGATGCCCGTGGCAGCAGGTGAGCGCATGTGGTCACATCCGGCAGTATCGACCCAGAGGTCTCACGCCCGTTGTAGTCCCTGTTGCTGGCATGCACAGACATGGCTGTCTGCCCTACGTTCTTCCTTCCTCCCTTTTCCTCCCCATCCTGTCACTCTCCTTCGTGCTGGTTTTAATAGCTCAGATATAAACCAGCGGGCACTTGAGTGTATGAAACTTAGCGTTTTCTCTCGAGAGCTGTTAGGATGGTTAAATTAATTAGAGAATATTTGCTAAATGGGAATAAGTTCAGACACTCTATTGGCCATTTAGGATTGGGTCATGTCACCTGGAAAATGAAGATTTGGGGACACCAGTGGGCCTGGCTCAGAAGGTGGGCCGTGGACACCGTCCCAGCTAGAAAGGGCACGTGCTGAGACGTGTGATCAGGTCACGTGTATATTAAAAGCATGTCCCCCACCCAGGGTCCCACTGTGCACAGGAAAACCACGTGGGAAGACACAGACCCTGTGATGTGGGTGGCAAACCCCCACTCCCAGGGCAAGGAGGGGAGATCAGAGGACTGTGAAGACTGGGCTTTGGGGAGCAGTGGTCAATGTCTGGGAACTTTCTTGTCCTTGTTATTCAAGGAGGTTCTTTTCTGGGGTTGAGCTCCTAGGTGGGGGTCGGAGATACCCCAGGGCTTGGCATTCCTGGAGGGGCTGTGGGAGGGCCTGGCTCACCCCTGCAGGGGGAACACTGAGCTCCTAGTGACACTTCCTCTGCTGGCCCTGTGCTGGTGCTTTCCTTGTCCTGACTAAAGACACTTCCCGAGGTTTGAGAGGGGGTAGTTAGGCTGTTTTCCTGGTGAGAGATCGGAGGCAGAGACGGACTTGGCACAAGAGCTCGGAGCCTGTGCATGCCCTTGGCCCCTGCTGTGGGGCCTCACGGGGACAGCTCTGCTGGCTCAGAGCCACGCTGAGAACACATGTTTTGCATAGGAGACGGGTACTTTGTGATAGGTGACCTGCAAGTGCAAGGGACAGAGAACCCCCGCAGGGCCACATTGGTGGATCAGCCCCACTGCCTCTTCTCTGGGTGTTGGGAAAGGGTGGGGTGCAGTATGTCAGTGCCCGCTGCCCCTTCTGTGTGAAGGAACGTCCATGCCACCTTCCGTGTGCCCGTGTGCCACTGCGGTGGGCTTTGATTCCGTGATGTGCCTCTGGTACAGAGGTTCACCCACCACACTAAACTTCATTTGTACGTGAGCCTTTTGCTTTGTTTTCTTACATGGGAGTCTTTTCTGGCTCTGTCTGCTACCCAGACTGCTCAAGGGACAGACTTAAATCTGAGAACGACGGTGTTCTTTTCATTTCATCTCCTACCACATCCTGGTTCTTAAAACTCCTTTTTTGGCTTCAGCCGCTCACTGGACAGTCACTTCTCTAAGGAGTAATTTACGGTGGCTCTGTGTACCATTCCCCTTTGTAATGATTTCCATCCCATTTTGTCGTCATAGTGTGGGTGATTTCTCCCTAAATGCAGCCTGACGTTTGCCCCCGTGAGGCTTGCCTGTTGTCTTTTGGCTCCTGCCTCTGTTCACTGCAGTTTCTCTGTGGGCCTGGAGGGCTTAGTGCTGCACACACATGGAGTGTCACTGGGAACACTGCTTCTCTAGTGCAGGTCAGAACCACTCTTGGAGGCCTGGGTGCTGGACTCACTTAGGAGGCATGATGGTTTTTAACTGCCTGCAGCAGGGTTGGCCAAGTGAACAAAGGGTTCTAGAAAATAAAGTTTTATTGGGACCTGCCCGTTCATTCACGGATTGTATGTGGCTGCCTTTCAGCACCAACAGTGGAGTTGAGTCATTGTCACAGAGACCATGTGACCTGCAAAACCTAAAAATATTGGCCCTCTACACAAATGGTTTTCTGACCCCTGGCTGCCATTTCAGATTTGGAGCAAATGACTGTGTTGTGTTCCTGGGCTGGGTTTCTGAGGGAAGCCCACTCGTGACTCCATGCTCCCTGCCCCTCCTGTTCTGAGCAGCAGGTGTCCATGCGCCTCTCCTTGGTTCCCTGCCCAGTGAGCGTCCATTCCCGCGGTGCTGCTGGGCGGAGGCACTGCCGGTTCAGCTCAACACCCTGTCTCCCCCATCTGTCTGTCTATCTGTCTGTGTCTCTTTCTCTCTGCTCTCTCCAGCCTTCCCAGTAGACCTTTCCCTCTTTGGCACATTTGGAAACTACAGTTGATAATCGACTGTGGACTAGTGAGCGTTTTTTGTTTTAAGAAAACACCCAAGGTAAATATTTTCACTTTTGCCTTGCTTTCCTTTCCCAGCCCTTTAGAACCACTTCCCCAGCCTGGGAGGCGTTTCTCCACGGGGTATGTGGGCCCTTCCTGTCCCATCTTGCTACTTTTCAGTTCATTTTTCTGGAAGACAAGAGATTCATGAAATGCCTGCCCAGCCTTGGACACTAACGCTCCCTCTGGGGCAGGTCCCCTTTGCCCAGCGCAGTGGCCTCGGCCTTCTGGGAGGTGGAGTCAGGCTGACCATCTTCCTCTAATCCCGGCCGGCTCTGCCTCCACACCTCCTGAGGCTCCTCTGCCTGACCTGCCCCTGCCTGCCCTAGAGGGTCATCACACTTGACTAGCTCTGATATTAATTCTTCTTCCCCCCTCTTTTCTAGGGTCCAACCACAGCAGACCTGGCCTCCCAACGGAGGAGAGCCCTGGGCGGAACCCAGGTGTTTAACTGCTTGCCAGGCAGCCCCAGGTCTGGGGATAGACCAGCTCGTGGGGAGCAGAGAGAGCCCAGCCGAGGAGTAGCTTCCTGCCAGCCTGTCCCATTCCCTCCAGGCCACGTTTTAGATGGCCCTTAGAGATGTGGGTCTTGGGCTGTCCTGGGAACCAGACGTCAGTGCCAGGAGCCTTCAGTAGGTCCTGCCTCCTCTAGGAAATGGGGGTCAGCTGGGCACAGGCCTGCCTCTGGAGGGTGTGAAAGGACCACTGTCACCTCCAGTCCCCGGGCCCAGCCTTCTCCCTGGGACAGTGCAGTGTCTGTACCTCCTTGGGCCCAGCCGCGATGTGAGTGCACGATGACTGCCTGTATGTGGCCGTGACTCTCTCTGTACTCTCTCTGCTTCTAGCCTGCCAGCTTCTGTGGCAGCACTTTCTGAACAAACTGAGAGCACGCCCATGGCCTTGGCCATAGTGAACCTTGTGACGTCCCTGACAGTGCCGTCCCTGACAGTGCCGTTTCTAAGCACGCCCCAGCCTATCCCATGTGCCAAACCTGGAAGCACGACCCCCCACAAGTCTGTGCCACTAGTCCTGCTCCCTCCTGTGGAGGCAGCTTTTCTGACTTCTCCCAGAGCCCTGGCTGGCTCCCCGGGGACTGAGGAGGCCCCTTCCTGCTGTGCCTCTGCCCGCCTTGCTTAGTTGTCACTTTATGTGTTTTAACAAGGTAACGTGTGGGAGGAAGGGCTCTTTCTGCTGCACCTAATCCTTTGTCATCAGATCCCAGGGAGACCTATGTCACACCCTCCTGTGCGTCCGTGACATGCATGGAGCGCGTGAGGGAGCGAAGGGCTGGGTAAGGACCAGGTGGATCACTGTCAGCTTTCTTTAAAAAACATGACATCAGAGTTTTTCTGTCTCTGAAACATTTTAAGCTCTGCCTTTTTCCTGTCCCTCACTCCGGGGTTTAAAGAAGTGAGAACAAGGAGGAATTCTTTTTCTTCTGGTTTACCTCTGATTACCCTCCAGCATTCAGCTGTGTAGAAGCTGGGGCATCACAGGAACCTGGGATCTTAGGTTAGATAGGGAAGGAGGAGGATTTCTGGAACCTTCCTGAAAGGAATTTGGGTCCTTATCTGGGACCAGCGGGAATGAAGGCCAAACAACAGTGGCCTGCTCACTTAGAAGTTCTCAAGGGGTTCTCTCCAAGAGCAAAATCCCAGGTGGGACACACAACATTTCGTTACCATGTTGGGGAGCTGCAGGAGGAACTTAACTCTGTCACATCAGCCAGCCTGTGGTAACATTGGTTCCGTAATACATCGTTTTGCTTAAAGTCTCAGGACCTGTTGATGTTAAGTAAAGACTGACTGTACTAGAAAATCATCTCTCCAGAACAGTGGTTTTTCACTTTGGCTGCACATAGAATCACTTGGCAAATGAAACATACCTGGGCCCACCCCCAGGGAGGGGCTAATCTGTCTGAACATCAGGATTTCTGTTTTTGAAGTAATTTTAGATTCACAGAGTTCCAGCTTCCCCTAAAGTTAACATCTTATATCACCTTGGTGCCTTTGTCAAAACTAAAAGGTTAACATGGGTACTAAAACTATGAACTCAATTACATTTACAGTTTTTCCAGTGTCCTTTTTCAGTTGCAGGATCCAGTCCAGGATACCAAATTGCATTTCGAGCTGTTCTTTTTTTGCTTAACTTTCTGTTTAGAAATAATTACAGATTCATAGGAAGTTGCAAAGTTAAGAGGTACCCTTCACCCTGTTTTCCTCAATGGTTACATCTTACGTAGTTCTAATGCAGTATCAACCAGGAGTCGGACAGGGGCACTGAGGGTGTAGTTCTGTATCATCTCGCTTTGAGTGACCACCAGTCTTGACACAGGACTGTCTCACCCCACCAGGATCTCCCTCCCAACCACCCTTGAGAGAGAGAGAGAGAGAGAGAGACACACACACACACACACACACACACACCCCGACTGCCATCCCGAATCCCTGGCAACCACTAATCTGTTCATCATCTCTGATTGTCATTTCGAGAACCATTTTCTAAATGGGATCGTCCAGTGTGTACCCATTTGGGATTGGCTCTTCTCAGCATAATGCTCTGGAGATGCATCCAGATTGTTGCGTGTGTTGACCATCATCCCTTTTGATGGCTGTGTGATACCCATGGTATGCTCATTGTCCCGGTTAACAATATCTGGGTGGTTTCCAGTTTCTGGCTGTCCCAAATAAAGCTGCTATGAACACTCATTTCAGGTTTTTGTGTAAACACCGGTTCTCTTTTTTCTGAGATAAATGTCCAGTAGTGCAATTGCTAGGTCATATGGTCATTGCACATTTTTTTAAAGAAATTGCCACGCTTTTTCATAGTGGCAGCACCATTTTACATCCTCACCAGCAACATATGAGTGATCCAGCTTCTCCGAATCCTGGCCAGCATTTGGTATTGTCATTATTTTTTATTTCAGCCATTCTGGTAGGTATGCAGCGACATCTCGTGATTTTCATTTGTATTAACATAATGGCTACTAATATTATTTGCTTATTTCACTTTGTGAAATATCTTTTCACGTTTTTGCCAATGTTCTCACTGGAGTTTTTTTTTAACTGTCGTTTTGAAAGTTATATGTTCTAAATACTAGACCTTTGTCAGTTTTTTGGTTTATATTTTCTCCCAGCCTAGCTTATTTTTTCATCCTCTTAACAGGATATTTTACAGAGCAAAAGTTTTTAATTTGATAAAGTCCAGTGTACTGATTTCTTTTATGGATTATGCTTTTAATGTCATGTCTAAGAATTCTTCACCTAGTGTTAGATGTCAAAGATTTTTTTTGGTAAAATTTTTAGTTTTATGTTTTATATTTAAGTCTGTGATCCATTTTGAGTTAATTTTTGTATAAGGTGTGACACTTAGGTCAAGGTTAAGGTTAAAATTTGCATCTTACTGTATACTGAGATTGAGCGTTTTTTATATGTTGGTGGGCAAGTCTTGTTTTCTCTTCTGGGAAGTGCTTGTTCATGTCTTTTGTCATTTTTCCATTGAGTTTGTCGTATTCTTATCCATTCATAAAAGTTCATTATATATCCTGGATTCTAATCATTTGTAGGATAAATGTATTGCAGAAAGTTCTGTTGTTTAGCTTATTCTCCATATTGTGTCTTTTGATAGTCATTCTAAATTTTTCTGCAGTCCGACTTAACCAAATATTCCTTTTTATGGTTTGTTGTGTCTTAGTGAATGCTCTATCCTATCGTCATAAAATATTCCTGTACATTATCAATCTATCTACCCAGACACACCCACATTCACATTTAATAAGTACACCAGAAATTGATGTGTGCACTACTCAATTCCCTTTATTTTTCCCCAAATGAATAGCCAAGTGTTCCAGTTCCACATACTGAGTAGCATGTCTTTCTCCACTGTTCTGCAGTGCCCTCTCATAAATGTCCATATACGTGTATTGATTGTGCAACTTTACTGGATTTGTTTAGTTTCTAATAGTCTTTTGGTGGAGTCTTTATGCCTTTCTATACATGCTATTATATCTGCAAATAGTGACAGTTTTACTAATTCATTCCCAATTTGGATGCCTTTTATTTCTCTTGCCTGATTGTTCTGGCCAGGATTCCTAGGACTATGTTGAATAGGAGTGGGGGGACACCTTTATCTTTTTCCTGATCTTAGAGGAAAAGCTTTCAGTTTTTATTGAGTATGATGTTAGCTAATGGTTTGTCAAAAGTGGCCTTTATTATATTGAGGTACTTGCCTTCTATACCCATTTTGTTAAGTCTTTAGTCATAAATGGATATTGTATCTTGTCAAGTGCTTTTTCTGCATCTATTGAGATGATCATATTTATCCTTTATTTTGTGCATACGGTGTATCACATTTCCATATGTTGAAATATCTTTCCATCCCTGGAATAAACTCCTTGATTGTGATGTATTATCTTTTTAATGTATTATTTGAATTAATAGTGTATCCAGAATCTTTGCATCTGTGTTCATCAGAGATATTGACCTGTAATTTTCTTTTTTTGTGTTATCCTTACCTGGCTTTGGTACCAGGGTAATGTTGCCTTGTAAAGTGAGTTAGGAAGTATTCAGTTTTTTGGAAGAATTTGAGGACAGGTATTAAATCTTTTCAACATTTTTGGTAATGCAGGTTTTGTGATAAAATCTCTCAGCTTCTGTATGTCTGAAAAAGCCTTTATTTCTCCTTCATATCTATCTAAAGGATAACTTTGCTGGATCTATTCTTAGCTGGTGGTTTCTCTTTTAATATTTTAAATACTTCATTCCACTGTCGCCTGGCTTGTAAGGTTTCTGCTGAAAAATCCGATGATAATCTAATGGGATTTCAACTGTGTAGGTTACAGCCTTCTTTCCCTCTGGCTACCTTGATAATTCTCTGTCGACAGTTTTAATAGAACTTGTGTCTTGGAGAAGGTCTTTTTGCATTGAGATTATTAGGTGTTCTATTTGCTTCTTGAATTTGAGTGTCCAGCTCTTTCCATAGGTTTGGGAAGTTCGTATTACTTGAATAGACTGTTCGTGTCTCCTTCTCTTCTGATATACCTATTATACTTGTTGCTTTTTCTAATGGAGTCAGATAGTTCTCGTAGTTTTTTTCATTTTTTTAAACTTTCAGTTCTCTCCCCACCAGATAGAAGTCATTCCTAGATTTCTATCTTTGAGCTCTGTAAGTCTCTTCCAACTGGTCTGCTGTTTTCCATGCTCTCTGATTCATTCCTCATCTCATTTATTGAGTTCAAATCCAGAATTTGTGTTTCTTTATAGTTGAAGCCTCTTTTGTGAAGTACTCCTTTTGTTTGTTGATTTTATTCCTGAGCTCATTGAACTGCCTTTCTGAGTTTCTTGTATCAAGTTTTTTCATAACTGCAATCGTGATTTCTTTGTCATTTATATCAGTCTTCTATGTCTTTGAGTTTGGTTTCTGAACTTTTCCTTTTCTCTTTGAGTTACTTTGTTACCTTGGTTATCCGTGGTGCTTGATGGATTGTTTCTCTGAGCATTTGAGGTAGTAAACTTTTTTAAGGTACTGTTTGGTTCTTAACAATTGACGAGGTTGATAAGTAGAGGTCTTTCATTTTCCAGCAGATGGTGCTATAATTAAGTTTTGTTTTCTCTTACCTGCTCTACTGATACCTCTGGGATCTCAGTGGGGCAGTGTTGGCTTTGGTCATAGAAAATGCCCCGTATTCCCCAAAGAGATTGGCATCCCATGCCTGGGTCACCTCAGTCTCAGGGTACCATCTTGTCGGAGATGGCAGGTGATGGGCTCCAGAACTGTGAGTTCCCAGCGCTGCCTCCTTGTAAGCAGAAGCTGCCAGCCACGCTGTGCTATCCCAGATGTCTAATGGGTTCCACTGTGATGGGGGGCAGCGGGAGGCGAGTTCTCAAGTCTGCACTTTGCCTTCTTGCTGACAATGGTGGCCACTAGTCTATTGCTGCACACTGCTGTATTACATTGCAGCCTGGTTTGGCCGCAGTTGCAACCTGGTACTCTGGGCTGCTGTGTGAGGGGTGCAGCATGATTTCTTCCCACTACCATGTCAATTGGGGCTGCAGCAGACAAAGGGAAGCAGCTGTGCCTTCTGACCAATAATAGCCACACCACTGTGCCACATCTCTGCCATTGTCACTGGGTATAGCTGCAATAGGCACTGGCCCCTCAGGCCCTCCAGGCTGCCGTGGGTGGGATGCACCTCAACTCCTTCCCTGCTGTCACGCCAGACTGTGTATGTGGTCCCTGTCTCTGTCCTTCTCAGTCTTGCCTCCTCCGCTCATCCTTACATGCCCAGCTTCATGTGTCTCATCGCATAGATCTCTCAGACGTGTTTGTGTTGAGCAAGGAATCCTTTGTTGAATTAGTTATCTGACTTGTAACTTGAAGGGGAGAAACCAAGGGTGTCCTCGTTCTGCTGTGATCGTACCATCACTCCTTTTTTTTAGCCTATAGATGTCCAGTTACTGCAGCACCATTTGTCTTTCCTCCATTGACTGGACTTTTGCACCTGTCAAAAATCAGTTGCGGGGGGCAGCCGGTTAGTTCAGGTGGTTAGAGTGCAGGCTTATAACAGCAAGGTTGCCGGTTCAATCCCCACATGGGCCATTGGGTTGCGCCCTCCTTAACTAGATTGAAACTACTTGACTTAGAGCTGATGGGTCCTAGAAAAACACAGTTCCCCAATTAAAGAAATCTGTGTTTCTGGGTTGTTTTCTGTTCCATTCATACTGTCCCTCCATCGATACCACTGTCATACTACTATATATAGGCATACCTTTTATTGCGCTTCACGGGTTGCATGGCTTATAAATGGAAGGCAAGACCCTCCACCAGCAAAAGTCTTACAACTTGCTTTATTACGGTGGTCTGAAACCAAAACCACCATGTCTACAAGGTCTGCCTGTAATAAGTTTTGAAGTCAAGTAGACTCATTATTTTTCAAAAAAATTTTTAGCTATAAATTTTTTTTTTTAAAGATTTTATTGGGGAATTGGGGGAGGAGAACAGCACTGGGGAAGGGGAACAGACAAGTTGCTGTCCTTTTGTTCTTCAGTCTAGTTGTGGAGGACGTTGCTTCACTGGCCCATGTTGGCATCATCATTGCGCTCTTCCCGGGTGAGGGAGATGGGTCACCAGCCTCTGGACAGCCACTTACAGCAGCTCCCGGCAGCTCCCACTGGCTGCTGGCCACACACGGTAGCTTATGGCAGCCCACTGCAGCAGGGGCTGTAGCCCACGCCATCACCGGCGACTCGCGGCATAACAACTCCAGGTTGAGCTGCTGTTCGCCATCTTAGCTCCAGAGGGCAGTGTCACTAGCCCTCATATGTGGGATCTGAACCGGGGCCCTGCTGCACAGAGCTGGCGTCCCAAGCCAGCTCTTAACCAACACGCCACTTGGCTGGCCCTTAGCTATAAATTTCAAAATAATCTTTTCCACATCCTCAAAAAATCTTGCTGGGATTTGAGGAAGAACTGCATTGAACCTGTACATCCATTTGGGAAGAACTGATATCTTGGCTATGTTTTGTCTTCTAATCCATGAACATGGTTATGTCTTGCTTGATTTCATTCTTCTTTGATTTAAACTTGTTTGATTTAAACTTGTTTGATTTAAACTTGTTTGATTTCATTCAAGTTTTCAGCATACAAGTCCTTACATACTTCGTTAGATTTACACCTAAGTATTTCATTTTTAGAAGCAATTGTAAATGGCCCTATTTTTAATTTTGCTTATATGGTCATTGCTAATATGTAGGTCTTTGTTTACCTTACATCCTGAGACCCTGCTGAACTCCTTTATTCTAGGTTCCTTAGGATATCCTATATAGACACTTGTGACATCGCATGGTAATGTTGATACCCGGGTCCCACCCCAGAGATTCTGATTTAATTGTCTGGATATCAGGACTTACAAAAACTTTCCCTTGTGGTTCTGATAAGCAGCCAAGGCTGAGAACCACCCACTGTGTTGAACTTGACCATCAATGAGCAGAGATGCTTAAGAGTGCATGGGCCATGTGCCCGGCCTGCCTTTCTGCACTCGGGCCTATTGTGCTGTCAGGCTGCATGTAACAGGCTTGTACTTGGCTGATGAGGAACACAAGGCCCTGGGCCTACTGGCCTGGTCCCTCCCAGCCCAGAGCACACGACTAGGCTGTGATGGATAACCAACCAGTTTTAATGAACACAAAATATCGATAACGTATAAAAAGGTATTTTTGTCTGTCACATGTGTCCCCACTTTCTAGATGGGGAGTCGTCTTCTCCATGGACTAGAGTACCTGTTTCTCCCTGGACCCCAGCATCTGGGTAAACGCTGGCTCTGTCCCCACAGGGCAGGGGCTGCCCAAGGGAAAGGAAGCTGTGGGGCTCTAGTCAGCTTTTTCACAGAGTAAGTTCCAGCCTCGTCCTTGACCTGAGGTCACTGACGTTAGACTAATGACTGCTGCAGATGGATGGCAGCCCAGGTGCCTTAATGTGTGAAGAGGGCTAAACCTTCATCAAGAAGCCCTCCCTCACCTTACAGCTGTTCAACTTTTTGGCATTTAAGGACCCAGCCCTGCCAGGAGCATGTCTACACCAGCACAACTTGAAGCATAGTGGGCGGATCCGTTAGGAGAGCCTGTGTGGAGCTAGGTCCTACACAGACTCCCAATTAGCAGTTGGGTGCAGAAACAAGTGTTCCTCTGCCTCCCCTGTGGGCAGAGCTTGGTGTCCCACCTTGGAGGTGGGACAGCGCAGACCAGCTGCGGGGGCCAGGCCAGAGCTCACGCTCCAATGCCAGGGCAGCATTAGCGCCTGAGGCAAAATAGGATCACCAGCCACCTCCCCAAAAGCTGAGTGGGCCACAAGCAGCCCCCTGCACCCCACAAGGAGAGCCACCAGCTGGTCAGCTAGAGAGTGTTGGGCAGGCCTAACCGAAGCCTTCAGACAGTGGGCATAGGGTTCCCTAAGGTATTAGCTCCAGCTCCTCAGTCTTAGGGCTTCTATAGCAACTGGGGGGTAGTAGGCCTCAGACCTGCTGAGCAGCCCTCTAGCCCCAACACCAGAGTCCCTAAGACCAAAGTTGCTGGGGTCCAGACGCCATCAGGGTTGCTGCTGATAGGAATGGAGTCCCTGAGAAACCCCTGCCCAAGGTGTCAGTCAGCTGCACAATGCCTGCAATCTGTGGCCTGGATAGTGGCTGAGCCACCACCCGACAGGAAATGCCCCTGTGGGGACGGAGGCTTAGGACTCCGCCTGTGCTCCAGCCCAGGCTCCCAGTCACCTGCACTGCACCTCCCTCTTTGGGACCCACCTTGTTTCCTGCTGGCCCCACCCCTCCGGGGTCTCTGTGGCAGCCCTCCCTAGCTGGCACCCTCTTAGGGAGAGCTCATCCCTGAGATTGGGCGCTGGGGTGGGGCTGGGACTCCCAGCTGCTCCCAGTCCTGACAGGGCCGCTTGGGAGCCATCGGGACAGGGGTCAGAACCACAGGTGTGAGGACGGGGAGCAGAGGGGACAAGGACGCAATGGTGGCTGAGTGGCCCTGCAGGACTGCTGTCATCGGGTACGATGATGCCCCACATGAGCCTGCAGAGTCTCCCGGATGCCCCGCTGCCAGTCTCGTGCCAGCTGCACTGGGGTGAGAGAAGCCTGGGGACGAGGGTGCTGGGTCAGTCGTCACCTTGCAGGTACCCTGCCCACCCTCCTCGGGGCCTGTGGGGCTCACCTGGTTCTGCATGCCCAGCTGGGCTCCGTAGAGCAGCAGCACCTTCATGGCTCTGTAGTGGCCGTGCCGCACAGCCTCATGTAGAGCTGTGTCCCCTTCCTGTCGAGAGGGGACATCATGTTCTGACTCTCCCCAGCCCCGGGAAGGGCTTTCCCCACTGGAGCAGCCACAAACAAGCGCCTACCTTGTCCTGTGCGTCCATGTGGGCCCCACATGCGATGAGGTGCTCCAGACACTCACAGTGCCCTGTGCGCACGGCCACGTGCAGGGGGGTGCTCCAGATCTAGGGGGCATGTGACAGTTACTGTGGCTCCACGTGGCGGGGCCCATGCCCAAGCCCAAGGGTTGTGCTTCCTCTGAAAACAGTGTCAGCTCCATGCTGCTCACTGCTCCTCCTGACAGCCCCTCCTCGGTATGCCCTCACCTTGTCCCGGGCGTTGACCTGGGCTCCCTGGTTAAGTAGCTGCTTTAGGATGTCCAGGTGTCCTCCACGGCAGGCCCAGAACACAGGTGTCCTGTCCAGCTGCAAAACAAAAGCACCGAAGACCTCTGATGCGCTGCATGCCGAGCAGGGTGCCTGCTGCGGAGGGGATGGGCCTTCCCCAGTTCTCACCATGTCGCGAGCGTCCACAGTGGCTCCTGCCTCCAACAACTTGTTCACAAGCTGGCTGTGACCCTTCAGACAGGCCCAGTGCAAGGCTGTGCGGTGGAGCTGGTGGGTGGAGACAGGACATCAGGCGGAGGGAGCATGGCCGCCCTCTAAGGTCCCACCCCTGATCCGTTCCCAGAGCTGGTTCCCTGAACAGAGCTGCCAGCTGCCCATCATGTGGAGGGCCCGCCCCTCCCAGCTCAGGAGGTGCTGGGATTCATGCCCCATCGAACAGAAGTAGGTCTGCTAGGCCAGGATTAGAGCTGAAGAAGGCACGCTGCAGCCAACTGCTGTACCTTGTCATGGGCACTGGGGTCCCCTCCATCTGCCAGGTACTTGTTAATCAGAGCCTCTTGGTTCTCAGCAGCTGCCTTCAGGAACGTATCCAGGTCCACGGACTCCAGCTGGGTCTGGGGCTGCAGCTGGACAGTTAAGGACAAGACCAAAGAGATACTGTCAGCTTATACAAATAATAGGTTTTTAAAAACCCACCCCTAGGAGACTCTGGCTGAGTGATTATGAGTTGACCTGTGCCCACCCCCAAGTTCATATGCAGAAGTCCCGATCCCAGAATCTCAAATGTGAGCTGACTTGGAAACTGTCATTGCAGCTATAACTAATATACTGGAATAGGCTGGTCCCTGATCCGATCTGACTGATGTCCTTATTAAAAGGGGACATTTGGAGACAGACATGCACATGGGGAGAATGCCGTGTGAACACGAAGGCAAAGATGTGTCCAGGAGCCAGGACAGAAGGAACCAGCCAGTCAACACCTTGATCTCGGACTTCAGCCAAGCCCCTAGTCTGTGGTGCTGTCCAGGCAGCCCCAGCAGTCACATACGGGGGTGGGGGAAGCCAGGATGGACTCTGTCCAGCTCGTCGGGTGCTGCTGTGCAGGTGTGGCCAGCAGTGTCCACTCTTCCCCAGGAGCTCCCACCAGGACAGGAAGCTCTTCCCCAGGAACTCAAGCCCTGGGTGTGTGCGCCCCCACCACCCTGACTCTGCACCCACCTTAACCATGGGCTCAGGTGCCCTGGGGGGAACTCTGCGTTTCAGTAGTTTTTCTCTTCGTCTTTGAACCAAGTTTTCCAAGTCAGCCAGATTGTCCAGATGAATTCTGGAACTGTTAAATCTCTCAAGCTGGGGCAGGAGGTGGACAGAAGACAAAAGACAGTGCCAGCCGTCAGCCACAGGTCACGGGGGCCTAGGGGCAGGCTCTACTCCCTGGTTCTCCCAGGCCCTCACTGCTCAGACCTGCCCACAAGGGCCCAGCCACCCTGGGCCACCCTGCATCACTCACTCTCCTCTTCTTCTCTTCTTCCACTTTCCGCCTCTCCCGGGCCACGGCCTCCTGAGGTCCCCGCCTCCAGTCGCTCGGCCAGCCTCCAGGATCAGGAACTTCATGTCCACATCCTAACACTTTCCCTTCTTGTCTTTCTCCACTTACCTGTAGGGACAGGACAGGGATCAAGAGAAAAATTAGAAGTCCTTCGAGAACCTAGCTATGCTACTAGTAGGGGTCCTGATAAGAGCTGGGTCTGAGGGCTGGCCTGACCCTTCTCAAAGCTTCTCATGCTCAGCAGCGTTGGCATGCTCCCTGCTGGCTCTCACCAGCTGCCACCTACCCTGTCCTGTCAGTGAGGACATGGGGTTGGGGGCATGACCCCATATCTATTTATACTGCTGGGCTTGTGTCCAGGCGAGCTCAGGGCACATGACACCTCAGCTTCCCTTAGGGGTTGCTGTTTTCACATTCCTACCAGATCACGCCACACTGCCACCTGACCCCCAGCTCAGGGACAAAGGATATGCCTCCTGGGTAAAATCCTGAATTCCTGGGTTCAGATCTTGGCTCTTCACGAAGCTGTTTTTTCATCAGTAAATGGGGTAGAACTAGCACCTCAGGAGCTGTGCCCAAGCTGAGCCCACCACACACTCCACGCTCCATTCTGCCCTTCCTTCTGGCCCACCACTGGGACAGCAAGAGCTGGGGGCACTGAGCACTGGCGCTGGAGGTAGAGAAAGGTTGTAATGACAGGGTGACAGGGCCTGGGGCTTCCAGCCACAGAGAACCAGGTCCCCTGTCAAAGCAAATGCTGGTAACCTAACTATGGCCACAGCCACTTCCACAGAGGCTGTACCAGGCTGGGGCCAAGCTGGGCATTGAGACATCCCAGGTCCCCTATGCCCCTCAACAAAACACATCCCAAAGTGTCACTGGTGTCACCATTTCTGTCACTACCCAGGTAAGTCCAGAGCTCCCTTCTCCCTCCCCAAGGCAGCCAGACTCCCGGCCCATTTCCAAAGCAACGGCTATCCTGGCAGTTGAGCTAAACTGAGACCCAGCTACACTTGTGTCTCCCAAGGTAACAACACTTGCTATGCTCCAGGATTTTCACATCACCATCCCCCGACATCTTTCCCACTCAAGTTTCCTTCTTGCTCCCTAACCCCCTTACCACCTCATGTGAGAACTGGGCACACAGACTAGAAAACTGCACGTTTCTGCTCCGAAAACATAATTCTTGGACCAGAGGAACCTGCCTGCCTGCCTGCCCTCCTCGTTCTGCTGAGATGGCCTGGGGCACCCCGACAACTGCCCGGCCTCCCCCCACCCATGTCCTTACCAACTGCTGGACACTGACGATGTCCATGGTCCCCCCGCTCTCCACTCCCCCAGTGAGAGAAGCTGAGCTGTCAGCCCTTTTATAGGAAAGCTGTCTCCTGGGAGCAGGCAAGGCAGGACAGAGGCTTGCGCCCACGCCAAATGACTCTGTGGCTCTGTAACACCCCCTAAAATACCAGCATGGGCCTGCAGCCAAGCAGAAGGCGGAGCTGTTCTGAGCTGAATCAGGTGCATCCTCACACACCCACTATCCTGACCTGTGCCACCCATCCCCCTGCCTGCTCAGAAGTAGTTCCGCCACAGACACGTGGCCTGGGGTGCCCGGGCCAGTGGCCCAGATTCAGAGGAAAACAGTTCTCTAAGTCCAGGCGCCACTCATACAAACGAGTCAAGTGTGAACCTCCACCTGCAGTTCTGGCCGCCTGAGCCCCTGAAAGGAGGCCAGAATCCTAGAGGAACTGGGAAGAATAGGCCCGGGAGGCTAACCTCTGCCTCAGGGACCCTCATGGACCCTCATGGCACCTACAGGAGGAAATTGAGCTTCAAGGGATTTCCGAGCTCCCAGCCAATTTCAAGTCTGCCTCCTATTCTTGATGGCTTCCTGCCCAGGGGCCCCTACCTCCCCCTCACCACTCTGAGGGCCACACCAGGAAGAGCCAAGTCCAGCCTGTCATCAGCTCCTCAGGCCTTGAAGACCTCTCCTCACCCAACATACAGGTCCTACCAGACGCTGTCCTGGGCATGGGGTGTGCTCTTCCCCAGGAAAGCAAGGTTCACATCCGCTCCAGGTCCAAATACACAACATTAACCGTCAATTCAGTCACAAAGCCAAACTTCCTAATTGTCCCTAAGATACCAGCATGCCCTTCACCCACTGTGCCGTGAACTCTGCCTTGACCTTTGAGGGGGAATCTGATAGCCAGTAAATAAGACTCCAGAATCGGAGCCACATGAGCAGAGATGACCAGAACAAGAGGGGTAGCTGCAGGTCAAGGACAGCCCAAGGCCCTGAAGGGCTGCCAACGGTCTCACCCACGGCTGGCTAGCTGGCTGGCTACATAAGCACACGCCAGTTCTGAGATAGCTTCTTAAAGAAACTCGGTCCTTATACTTCAGGGTGTTTTCTCAGATGATATTTCCTGCCTTTGGTTATGAGGAGGGGGAGTTACCTAGACCTGCGTGAGGATGAGCAAACAAGAAAAAGTCCGACTTTAGCTCTGGGCTCCACTGCCTCCAACTCCTTTCCTTCCATATCCCCAGACAGGCTTCATTCAAAATTCTCAGCAGAAAACTAGATTCTTCCACATGAAACTAACTGGTATTAACTCTGAATGATAAAGAAAAAATGGCTCCTTGTAAAAAAAAACCCAAACATAGCAAATAAAGCTCCAGAAGAACCCCTGACTAACCACTCTCCCCAGTGGCCCAGGGGACCATGGGCACCAGTTTGCTACATGCCCTTTGGACTTGGTGCCTGTAATTTTGTGCCCGTACATACATGTTTCTAGAGGCATCATGCTGTGACCACGACTCAGCACACCTCCTGAACAAGCGTGCAGTGGCCACTGCCCTGCACTCCAGTGATGTGGGCCAGAACGGAGCGATTTCCCCACAGGCAGCACCTGGTGGGCTCTTTTGTTTTACATTACACCCTGTGCTCCAGGTACCTGTCAATCATGGCCTCCAGGTGGCACAACTTATAAATGCCTCCGGAAATAAGCATCTTTATAGACATGGATGAATATTTCTCTAGGTAGCTATAGAGAAGTCAAATTGGCCCTGTTCATTTAAATTTTAATAGATATTGGGCCAGCAGAGTGGCATGTTGGTTAAGAGCTGGCTTGGGACGCCAGAGGGCCCTGGTTCGGATCCCACATATGAGGGCCAGTGACACTGCCCTCTACAGCTAAG